TTTTGCTAGTGGAGTGGGACTAAGTCCCTTGTACTGCGGCCACTTCTGGCCTAATGTACCAGTCCCAGATGATATGTGAGGGTGATTGTGGAGCAGTTGGCGCAATGAAGATTGGCAGGGGAAACCGAAGTACTCGGAGAAAACCTGCCCCAGCGCCACTTTGTCCACCACAAATCCCACTTGACCAGACCCGGGATCGAACCCGGGCCGCCGCGGTGGGAAGCCAGCGACTAACTGCTTGAGTTATGGCACCGCCGTCTGCAGTAGTAAGTCAACTGTCATAATGTAAAGGATATTTACATTTTACATGTTAAATATGTTAACAAATGTATATCAAATATACTTGTATACATGGCCTCTGTCAGTCCAGGCTCATTACAGCAGATTATGTCCTGTTTCTATTAGCTTCCGCTACAACGGCATTCTAGTCACTTGAACGGTCGTATGCTTGACCGCCGCCAAGTTTAGGCCTCCTATACTTTGTATGTCGGGCAGATATTTTCGTTATCATGATTTTGTATGATTTCTGCTTGTTGCCTGCATAATTTTGTTACATAATCATATACGTACGGAATTTTGAAAGTCGTGTGTAAGTCGCGAACCGGTGTGTGCCTTGGAAAATTGCCAATGGTGCGGAGAACCTTGTTTTGTAGGCGCTGCAATTTCATTAGATGGGTAACTACGGCACAGTCAGAGTCAGAGTTACTTTACGACTGGCGGTTTACCGCCAATGAGTTCGTCTTGGCATCAGGCACCTTGAGGCCCACGACCAGAGATTTTTTTCTTTTTTCCATCTGAACTCTTGCGGTAATAGTCCTTATGTAATATCCTCTCTGACAAGAAGATGGGTCTGTCTTATGAATACATTCGACCTTTCGTCAAGTGTATATTTCACACATATAGTATGTTATCGAAAACTCTTCCTTTTGCTTTACACACAAGTCCTCTGTCGGTACAGGCCTTACAGAGTAGATCATGCCTTACTTACAAAGTCAAAGTCACATTGCGACTGACGGTCAGTCAGTCAGTAAGTTTTGGTGTCGAGCCCCATCTGGGGATCATGACCAGTTTATTACTGCTTGACCGTTACGGTCTTGTTTTTTTGGGGCCGCCTCTCTGACAAGAGGACGGGTCTGTCTTTTATATATGCTGCTGGCCCTTGCCAACGCAGTCTGCCTCGGGTCTGAGTCCCTTGGGACTCTCGACCATATTTTACTGTCTCAGTTTTGAGACTTCCCTTTTCGTCGCCTCCTACGACTCGCAGGGTCACGGTGGAGGTATTCGATCCCGCCTCCACACGGGTTAACCACGGCAGAACTCACTCATTCTGCTTATAACGTCTCGACGCGGACCGCAAAGAAAACACCGTTCCTCTGTTGCAGTGTAATTGTTTCCGCGGAAACGTGCATCTTTGCGCAGCCGTTACTTGGGAACGGCTGTTGTATAGTAGCTTCGTACGCTGTTGTCTGGCAACGGATCAACATGCCTGAATATGATGAAAGAAAAGTAGCAATCGCTATAAGATGTTTCTCTATGTCAGAAGCATTTGGTACATATTTCTGCAATGAGATTGCTCCACAAAGTGAAAAACACAAACAAAAAACCTTTTCTGTACTTTCATGCTTTCTCCAAATTACAAAACCGTCAATCCTTAAACACGTGCCTGTTGTAGGTGTCTTGGATGAGACTATAATGAAATTCAAGGAAAAAGTAAAATGTTCGGATATACTCTGGTGATACCAGTGTTCTGGCATTACTTTGATAACTTACCTACATTTGTGACAAGGTTATGAAAGTGTGTACTTTTAAATGCTACATAATGCAGTCAGAATTACCAACTGTTACAGGAGAACACATCAGGAACTGGCGCTCCCGCTACTTTGTACTGCTGGATGATGGCTCACTGATTGGGTTCAAGACGAAGCCTGAGCATAACCTGAGCGACCCCCTCAACAACTTCACGGTGAAGGGCTGTCAGATCATGACCTCTGACCGCCCCAAGCCATACACGTTCCTCATACGAGGTCTGCAGTGGACCACCGTCATTGAGAGAACATTTCACGTTGAATCAGATAAAGAGAGGTGTGTGATATAGTGTGATGACATTCTGTAACGATACCCATGTTCAGAGCTGAGTTTGCAGTGTCAGACATTATGCAAGAATAACAGGTGTATCCTTTTTGGTTGTTCTTTACAAAGTAAAAAAGAATTGTGTAGAAGCCATGCCTGTTCATCTGTCAATGTTAGTGCCTAGACCACAGAACGGAATTATATGTGAGGCTTTCACTAAAAATTGTCTGGCTAATTTTCAACCATATTGACCCGTAGTGCAGTCTCTTTAACACCGTAACTGCAGTGCAGAAGTGTGTTACAGAGGCATTCTAAAACAACCAACAATTGGAATTTCAGAGGAAAAGCTGAGATTATTTACTGAAAAGGCAGAACACCTCAGTAAGTCAATCTGTGATCTGTCCAGACGTTGTACAGAACTGTTCTGTTAAATGAAGACTCAAATCACTCACGGAGCTGAGCCCATCTTGAGAAGCTGCCAGTTGTGCAGCTACTCAAGAACTTCCCAGCATTTTATGGAACCTGAAGGTTCATTACCGTGTTCACAAGAGCCCTCCAGCGGTCCCTATCCTGAGCCAGATCAATCCAATCCGTACCATCCCATCCTATCTCTCTTGAGATCCATTTTAATATTGTCCACCCACCTACGCCTTGGTCTCCCCAGTGGTCTCCTTCTTTCCGGCTTTCCCACCAACATCCTGTATGCATTTCTCCTCTCCCCCATTCATGCTACATGCCCTGCCCATCTCATCCTCCGTGACTTGATCATTCGAATTATACTTGGAGAAGCATACAAGTTATGAAGCTCCTCATTATGCAGTTTTGTTAAATGGAGATATGGGGTTAATGTTATGCATGTTTCAGAGAAAAATTTGTGTAATTAGACATACAGAAGCTGACATGCTTCGGTGTTTGATGTCTGTTCAGGGAGGACTGGGTAGCAGCAATTCGCTACGTGGCTGATCGATTGGCAGAGTCGGAAGATGTTGATATGGCATCCGCAGACCGCTCAATCCAGTGTGGTGATGGTTATGATGTGACAACCATTGATGATCTGAGTGCCAAGTTCTCAGTTCAGGGCACATCCAGTAGCAAATCATCTGGCAAGAAGAAAGTGGTATGTCAAGCATACAGTTAAATGGTGAAGGTAAACTTATCCCTCTGCTTCATTATGCATCACGCCTTGAAGACAATATTCTGTGCTATAGTAAGTAGCTGAATGACTGGGGAGTCACTGTGAGATTTTTTTCTTTGGCACATTGTCTAGATGGGGGCAGAAATTTCCTCCCAAACACTGGCAACTGCCTACCGGACTGCACAGTGTCATAACCCAGAAGTTAGTGCTCTTCATAGTCATGCCTGAAAATCGCAAACCCAAAATTATTGTTACTGTGTTCAAAAGAGCCTACCAACAGTACCTGTCCCAAGCCTGATCATAGCCTGTTTCATTAAAATCTCTTTCAATATTAAAAAGGTAAGATAAAGTTGTCACTGTGCTTAATTGAGCGCTATGCCATGAAGGCATATGGGGACTGGATGTATAGATCCACATTTTCTTGACTTCGGCACTAGTTCGGGGTGAATGGTCAGTTTCACGCCCCTACCACTTTACCCCTGTGATAGAACCCCTGGTACCCATTGGATAGGATGCTTGGGTGAGCCCCAAAACCAGTCTGGACGATGTGGAGAAGAGAAAATTCTTGCCCCTACCGGGACTCGAACTCCAACCCCTCGGTCGTCCAGCCCATAGCCAGTCGCTATCCCAGGTCCCCTCTTTCAGTATTATCACTTTGAAACCTTCCAGATGTATTTCCTTCAGGTTTGCACCAAAACTTCTACATTCATTCTACTTTCTTCCATGTCTAGTAAATGCCTTTGCAGTTCCTCTTCGATTTTATCCTAATATTTGTCAGGAATAAAACTATGTAATGATTTATTGTGATGCATTGGGGATATCTTTTAAAGTGCTGTTCTTTTTGTATTATAGACACTAGAGAACTTTGAGTTCCTCAAGGTGCTAGGAAAGGGCACGTTTGGCAAGGTAGTCTTGTGTCGCGAGAAGGCAACAGGCCACCTGTATGCCATCAAGATACTCAAGAAAGAGGTCATCATTCAGAAAGATGAGGTTGCGCATACCCTCACAGAGAATAGGGTTCTGCGAACCACAAACCATCCCTTCCTTATTGTAAGTATTGTTATGTATAGTTCATGTATGTTCTCAGCTTTGTAATTGATTGCCTTCAGAAATGTTGTTTTGGCCATTGGGCAATTTTTGTCATACTTTTTTTGTGTAAAATGCTGTAGCATCTAGCCATTTCATAACCAGTTTCTTATGGAAGCTGACCACATTTGTTAGCTGCAGCAAGTGTATATACATGCTTACAACATGAACTCTACAGTGCCCTTACTCTCCATTTATTTCCAGTCGCTCAAATACTCGTTCCAAACAGCCGATCGCCTGTGTTTTGTCATGGAATACGTGAATGGAGGTGAACTGTTCTTCCACTTATCAAGGGAACGAGTCTTTTCAGAAGAAAGAACGCGGTTTTATGGTGCAGAGATTATCTCGGCACTCGGATACCTGCACGAGGAGGGGATCATCTACAGGGACCTCAAGGTACAGATTGTAAGACTGATGACTGCATGTGAGTTACGTATAGCCCTCATTCCTAAATGTCTTACTCTGTTTTGTGTTCTTCTGGGTTTTGCAGTAGTAGTAGTGACCAGGCCTCAAAGAAACATGCTTTTTCTTCTTCTTCTCTTCCTCCTCCTTTCCAGTATTAGACTTGTTGAGACATCTTATGGATATTATGACGCACACAGTAGTATAGTTGGCTGAGGCACTGGGCTACAAGGTGGAAGGTCGTGGGTTCGATTCCCGATGAGGTAATTTGATTTTTCAGTCAGTCTAATCCAGCCACACTGTGGCCCGAGGTCGACTTAGCCTGTATCAGAAATCATCTTGGGGCAAAGGGTGGCTGGCAGATAAGGCTGACAACCTCACCGCCATCTGTAAGCTGATTGTCTAGAAAATTTGGGAGCCTTGACGTCTTACAACCCCATGGCCCTTCATGGCCTGTTACATGGATTACTTTACCTTTGTTTTTAATTTTATATAAAGTGGAATCCTTCCATTGCTTCACAGGTCTTCCCAAAACTTCTTTTTCCTTTTGGGCAATCAGTTAAGGTCGTATGTGGAAACCTCGGTTCATTCTGTCACCATGTTTGTTCCCGTTTTTTCTATATAAATTCTGTTATTTGTAAAATTTTTAGGTCATTCTTAATTTCTTTTACAATCAGGAAGGATACATTAATGCATTAAATATTTCTACCTATATATGTCACTACTTAATAAGATGTGTGTGTTGTGTTGAACCTTTGTAAGCTCTCTTTGTTGTAAAGATGTAATGGTGTTAGATTTGTTGTAGAGAAATAATTGAATTTATGTGTGTGTCATTTTAATTTTTAATATGTATGTAATAGAAGATATGCAAGGTACACCCAAACATCTGTTAAGTACATTGTTAATTTTATGTAATGAGTAACGAGTTACCATATAATTTAGTCATTCATTCATTCATTCATTGCATGCATGCTGTTATTCAGCCATCAGACCTCTATGATAATAGGCAGTTCCTCTTGGTATAGTTTGCAGTAAATAATTTAAGAATGTACAAGTTCTAAAACAAAAAATTAATGATTTGCTTATGTTATTAATGATTTTGACTATACAGAAAGATGTATAGTTTGACTGCAGTTTGTATGGGTTTGTTTTCAGTTCATTGATGTTGATGTCATATTTTATGAGTAAAACTTTGTGTCATATGTGTGCTTTCTTTTATTGGCAGCTGGAGAATCTTCTGTTGGACAAGGATGGTCATATCAAGATTGCAGACTTTGGGCTGTGTAAGGAAGACATAACTTATGGCAGAACCACAAAAACTTTCTGTGGCACGCCAGAGTACCTTGCCCCAGAGGTAAGTCACTTTAATAATGTGTAGACCTTCCAGACCCAAGTGCACTGTCTGCACAGTTACCTACCTACAGTATCTGCTTTAATCCTTCAGACTCCTTACCATCACTTGTAATGTTTAATGATACACTAAACTCCCCACTTATGTGGATTAATTGGATGGAGGGATCATCCAAATTAAACGAGAATCCAGATTAGTGAAGGAAAAAGTAGCCCTAAAAGGGGAGGAAAAACTTAGAACACAAATAAATAGAAAATTTAATGATATAAATAGTGCTGATTAAAATAAAAATGTAGATCATTTATTTAAAAACTGTAAAATGACTACATATTTATTCATCAATAGGAGACTCGGAAGTTGTACTTGGTTTTGAACATAATAATGCAGGTTTGAAGAAACTGTCAAGTTTTGTATGAACAGACTCATCTGCCTTCCTAAATTCCATGTGTCTTTTAAAGTATGTACTCGGTGATGAACAATATTTTTCATATTTTGATCCAGATTGACTGAAACCAGATTAGCGAGGGTTTACTGTAACGTACCAGCTGTTGATGTTACCTAGAGCCTAATGATAAATACTGGGTTTGGGTTGTAATGAATGGTGAATGGAAAAGATATAAGGGGAAGTGGTCATAGTTGAATGAACTGGCATATCCTTTACCAAAAGCAAGGCCCAAAAACTCTTTCAGAGTGTCCCATGTCAAGATTAAATTCTAAAAATTATTATTTATATCTTATAGCTATATTTTTAATATAATTCTGTGCTGGTGTATGTTTTTGCTATTCTTTGTTTATAACAATTCTGACCCATCCACATTTAATGACTTTCAAGAGAAATGAGAAGAGATTCCTAAACAGACTGAGGTAATACTGAATCTTTCTTGAAAAACTAATAGTCACTTAGTTGGTCAAGGAATTCTTTTCCGTGTTTCTTTACCATGTTCACATGAACCAGTCCAGTCCACAACCTCATACTAAAATTATTTTCACATATCGATTTCTAAGTAACTGTTGCCATAATGAATTCTTGCTTCTGGAGTTGAAGGTAACAGCAGATGTCTCAGTTTTGTTGTAATAAGATTTTGCCTATAGACAGTAGTAATTCTACTTGCATTATGCAGTGTCTTGTCTACTCTCCTGCATATTTAGTTAATATGATATAACTAACTAAATAACTACATGGAGCTGAGCCCATTTTGAGAAGCCGCCAGTCACTCAGCTACTCAAGAACTTCCCAACAGTTTATAGAACCTGAAGGTTCATTACCATGTTCACAAGAGCCATCCACTAGTCCCTATCCTGAGCTAGGACATTCCAGTTCCTACCATCCCATCCTGTCTCTCTATTTGAATATTATCCTCCCACCTACATTTAGGTCTTGTAGTGGCCTCTTTCCTTCTGGCTTTCCCATCAAGATCCTACATGCATTCCTCTTTGCCTTGATCCATACTACATGTCTTTTCTCTCATCCTCCTTGACTTGACCATTGCCATTATACTTGGCAAAGAATACAAGTTATGAATCTCCTTATGCAATTTTCTACAACCTACTATCACTCCACCCCACTTTTGCCCAAGCATTGTCCTCAGCACCCTGTTCTCAAGCACCCTCAGTCTCCCGTTAATGTCAAGAGACCAGGTTCCACACCCATAAAAATAACCACAGGCAAAATCATAGTTTTGTGTATTCTAATTTTTATGTTTGTAGACTGGACTGAATGGTAGCAAGCATTACCTGAATTCAATCTCTTAAATTTAATTTTTTCTTGCATCCTGTTGTGTATTTAATCAATATTAGGGTTAATTTCACGACCACACAACATGTTTTTATTATTGTCACACTACATGTTTCGACCTCAAGAGGTCATCTTCAGGTGTAAGAACACAGTTGCACAATCACACGCAATCACATTCGTTTTCCACTTATTTCGATCCTGTATCCTGTTCAGGCCTACGCACAATAATATATGTCAAGTTCTTCATATAAAATACAAGTTAAAATACTATTCGAATGTTAAAAGTTAAGATTTAAAATTTAAAAATTTTAATTTAAAAAATTTAAAAAAACATTCAAATGGTATTTTAACTTGTATTTTATATGAAGAACTTGACATATATTATTGAGCGTAGGCCTGAACCAGGATACAGGATCGAAATAAGTGGAAAACGAATGTGATTGCGTGTGATTGTGCAACTGTGTTCGTACACCTGAAGATGACCTCTTGAGGTCGAAACATGTAGTGTGACAACAATAAAAACATCTTGTGTGGTCGGTGAAATTAACCCTAATATTCAATCTCTTAATGTCCTCCTAAATCAAATTTTGATTTGTTACTGTCAGTCCAAAATATCTGAACTCTGCCACATTTTCAAAGGATTTATTTCCTGCCTTTATATTTTTATTACTCCTTACTTAATGTTTCCCTTTAAATGGATTAACAGCAGTTCAGTGTGGTTTAGAGCATGAAACAGTTTGTTCGTTTAAAATGTTGCCGACAGGTTCTGGACGACAATGACTATGGACGGGCAGTGGACTGGTGGGGTATTGGTGTTGTGATGTATGAAATGATGTGTGGACGCTTGCCGTTCTATAATAGGGACCATGATGTGCTGTTCCAGCTGATACTCATGGAGGAGGTATGTGCAATCGTTCCAGCTCCCTAATTACACTGTCACCTCTCATTTATATACATTTTGTGCTGTTCTGAGTATAGACATTACATTTTTGAGGAATCAACTGTTCTTATCTTTAGTGTCAACCCTGAAGGTGGAGACAGCAGGAGAGGTACTTCAGGGTCAGCCCTGAAGATGGAGACAACATATTGTTCTTAAATTATCAATTTACCAAGCTACACAGTGTCATAACCCGGGAGATCACAATGCAAACCCACATTGCTGTATCTGAAGCTCTGACAGCAGTGGCTGTGAAGGGTTCTGTCTACTGTGATATGATGTTATGTAGACTGGTGAAATCTAATCAGTGTTCCAGAGGAATGTGTCACCTTATTCAGGGTTAAGAGCAAGCAAGAAATCAGCATGAAGCAAGCAGCGCGCAACACCCTTTTGGCTCTGCAGAATATAACATTTTAGGAGCATTGTAATCATTTAAGTGTAGAATTGATGTAAGTGTTGTGTTTTAGACACTGATGGTTTCACACAGTCGTAATATCATCAGATACTTGGGAATTCCAAATGTGCTTAAGTCATCAACATTGTTCTATCCAGTACTAAGCCTGTTGAGCCCTGTTACAGGTATTACAAAACAGAATCGTCCTGCTCTTTTGGAGGTCTCCTCACACTGCCTTTCCCTTTTGGTTGCTGTTTAACATGTTCGCTACCAATATCTCAGTGAGAAATTTGAATGTGCAAGCCCAGGGTTTTTAGTGTCAGGGTACTCTTAATGCATTCATTGACCAGCAAAATTAAGGAACACACCCTTGAACTATGACAGACAGGATTCTGTTTGCCTGTATTGCTGTCTGATCTAAGTCATTTACAGTAATCTGCACATGGGAACACTTACCTGACCAACGGACAGATGTGGGAATGAATGTGTTAAGTAAGATCTTCTGGAATCGTGTGAAAGCTCATCCTGTCAGAATGCTTATGTAGTGATTTTGGTGCAGAAGAGTCAGTGTGTTAACACTTTGTTATAGGTGAAGTTTCCACGTACAATCTCAAATGAAGCCAAGGATATGTTGGGGGGTTTGCTCGTTAAAGACCCTAACAGAAGACTTGGAGGTGGACCAGATGATGCGAAGGAAATTATGGCACACCCATTCTTCAGTTCCATTAACTGGACTGACTTGCAGCAGAAGAAGGTGAGGGCTTGTTGAGGATTGATTCTGTATCCATTGAAGGATTAGTAATTAATGGCAGTGGCCTAAATTTTATATGAATGTTGTGTTTTATGTATTTGTTTATGGCTACATGAGACATGCTCTGTTCATGTTGCTGTAGTATCAGCAGCCAGTAGTTAGATGAAACAGCGCAAAATACAGAAAACAATATTGGAAAATAAAATTTGCTGAAGAAAAATTGAATCTCTACTAAACTCCACAATCCTAATCAGAATTAACATACCAGTTGTAGGTTAGCAGTGGTGTATTGAAGCAGTATGTTCATATCATATCTTTGGAGCAAATGATGTATTATTTCCAGTTGTTTTCTCTAAATGTAAATTGTAAAACTATTGAAGGTGCTAATGAAAGCAACTGGTATCACTAATACAGTTGTATCAGTGACAGACATTAGCAGCAGTTTTGTCTTTTGGGATGTAATGTTGTGTAGTCTGTTGAAAGCCAAATTGAAATTTTGGAGGAGTCACCTCTGTCTTAAGGGGCAAAGAATAAGGCAGGCAAGAAACCAGCTTATTCTTTGACCCTGAAGATGGAAGCTACATGTTCCTCCAAGTCTTCAGTTTGACTTTCAGTGAACTACAGGGCATTATTTTCCATAGGATAAAACTCTTCATAACCACCACTGCAAGATACTCAAATCATCCAAACTGTATTCTGTTTGAAGAGTACTAGAGTTTTGATCTCAACCCAAAAATGCCACTAGAAATGTGATAGTGCTGAAACACGTGCTGACTGGCTGGTTGGATCTGTAGACGGTTTCATTGGCAAACTATTTTTTCCCCTCTCTCCCTGTACTTCAACCTGCAATTTTATGTGGTAAGAGTTTATTCGTTCTTATATGTCTCTCAGCACATTAATTGGCACAAATGTGGAAGTGAGTTTTTATTTTATTTTTGTGTTGATGGATATATAAAAACAAACATATCGATGCACACAAAAGGGTGCATTCCATGAAGATGGTAGAATTTTATTGACATTTTGGAGCTTGCTCATTGCTGCTTGTTTGTTTGTCTTACTCTTTGATCCTGAAAATGGTGGCATATTCGTGCAAAGTAAACTTGTACCTGTTTTCACAGTTTCACATTCCAGAAAATAACACACTTCATATTAACATTATTTATATGAGAAAATATTGTAATCTCTGGAGAATATCAGCTGTCATGCTTTTGTCTCTAGTGTGTAACCACGATGTCTTGGCTCCTTTTCAGATCCCACCGCCCTTCAAGCCTCAGGTCACATCAGATACAGACACACGGTACTTTGACTCAGAATTTACAGGCGAGTCTGTAGAACTGACGCCTCCAGAGAACCCTGGACCTCTCAATAGCATCGCAGAAGAGTTAGAGCAACCATACTTTCAACAGTTCAGCTATCAGGATCTGGGTTCAACTCTTGGAAGCTCCGCCGCAATCAGTGCCAGCAGTAGCTCTCTTGCTCACAGTGCCACCATGCAGTGAATGTGACAAGCTTAAGCAGTTGGCTTTTGTAGAAGAATTGCTTAACACTCATTTAATTCTGTTTTACACACACACACTGTACGATATGAAATCGATACCAGTGACTTGATATGCACATAGCATAATTAAAGAGTTTTAACAGAATGTGTAACTTTCTTTTTGTGCTTTGCTGCATAATGGGGCTATGCATCATTCTCAAGTGATGGATAAGTGACGTGTGGCGAATGACTGATAACTATCCTCTTGATGGCCTAAGTGAAGCTGATGCCTGTTGTATATAAGGTGTGAATAGTGTTTGAGACTTTAGTGAGACTTCATCATGTATGAAGCAAGTGGATTGTGTGTAAGAGTTCTGGCAGTTCATGAAGATGCACCCTACATTACTAGTACCTCTTAATTTTATTTTCTTTCCTCAGTTCTTTCCCCAGTGCCCTAATTAATTTGCTTTTATTAAAAATTGTTGGAAATCCCCCCCCCCCCCCGTAAGAAGTCCTGTCCTGTTTTCATTGGTGAGATATATTGCATCTCGGATAATTATCATGATAGCATTTAGTTTGTTACAATTAGTGGACGTGTTATGTACCTGAAATTGAGCAAAAGTTCCCTGTAAGACAAATATATAAGCTGATAGTTCATTATTGCCTTCTGAATGATAACAGAAACCTGTCAGATGTGAATGTCCACCACATTAATACAGTTGTAACAATGTAAATTTTAACACATTTTCTGTCCAGGCCAGAGACATCTGTTACTAATGCACCCCAGGCCTCAACATTTTCTCTTCTGCATTTCTGAATGAACACACCTCTCCATGTTTGCATACCTTGGTAAATATGTAATTGTATTGCCTTGCTCATAGATGGAACATAACTACTTTCTGTTTTAATTCCAGACGCCTGGGTAAGTGGGCAGCTCATGGACTGAGTTACATGTAGCTATGTGATGGGAAGTGTGTTGAATGCATCACAAATTATATGGTGAATCAAGAATACTTAAGGTTATGGTCTTTTGGGATGTGGTGCCATTTAATTTCTATAAGTAACTACATAGCAGCCTTCATGATGTCACATCCCACTTGTATTTGTCTACCAAATTATGTCACAACACATCCCACTGGTACCTACCCACCAAACTATGTGACATCACATCCCTGTGGTACCTATCTACCATACCACATGATGTCACCTCCCACTGGTACCTACCCACGAAACTATATGACATCACATCCCTGTGGTACATATCTACAAAAGTATGTGATTTCACCTCCCACTGGTACCTACCCACGAAACATGTGACATCACATCCCAGTAGTACCTATCAACGAAAGTATGTGACGTCTCCTCCCTTTGTTACCTATCTACCAAACCATGTGATATCACACCCCAGTGGTGCCCATCTGCTGAGCTACATGATGTCACATCCCAGAAGACTAATCTTTTTATTCACATCAAATTTCAGAGCATCTGTTCTTATGTAAAGCAGTCAGCATTTCATTACTGTGGTAGCATTTATAAATATAATTCCTGCTAACATGGAATTCAAAGCTTCATCACTGCAACCTCAAAATATGCCTGCCTCTCAATCCGTGTCGAGAGACTTGAAACCAGTTCTAATATTTGTAAAATTGTCCCCATGGTTTAGCACAGGCATAGGTCTTCCTTCTTTCTTTATTCTGTTAATAATCTTTTAATTTTACTTGAAGTAACAAAAGGTGATACTGAATAGGTTAGTTTAGAGGTAACACTCTTAGACTTGTGTTTGGGAGGTGCTCAGTTTTAATCTCAGCTGGGACACAAACTATCTTGATGAGGCTTTCATGGTTTTCCCCTGTCCCTCCAAGCAAATTCCAGGATAGTGCCTTGATTAGTGCATGACTGCTTCCTTCCAAATCCTTTCCGATTCATCATCATTCATCTACAATCTACCGTAAGATGCTTTATAGTCCCAATATTGGAAGCGTTGTTACGTAACCCACAGAATAAAATGAAATGACCATGTGTGACATAATAACAGAGCACAACAGTTTGTCAGATTTCTCTGAGCTGAAAGTTCTTATTGTGGAAAATTTTAGTTCATTTCTTTATCAAAAATGTGTGCCAAAAGAACACCATTTTTATTTTCTGCATTAAATTGTCATTACATCATATTTTGTAATAACAAAATTAATTACGTGTTTGTTCCACATGCTGCATGGTAAGGAACCAAATGTTTTTAGAAGAAGATGGATTGTGAAGCCATGTATTTTAGTAAACAGGTTCTATACATCAGTACCTATCTACCAATCTTCATGCTGTTGCATGCCAGAAGACAGTAATCTTTATATCTACTCCCTGATGACCAGAAACTTCAGGCTTTTTAGCCTTCTGAATGTTGGGTATTCGTGATGATTTATGAAAATTTAACTCTGGAAGTTTAATGAAATTCTTCTGAAATCTCTTAGAGGCCGTGAAGTAACAGTATAGACGTCATATTTCATGCAAATAGGAAATACTATTTTTGATATTAAGACTCAGTTGTAGTTTTCCGTCTTGTTTTAAATTCAATACTGTTATAACCATCTTGAAGCAAACATCAAATTTTCACACATTTATTAAAGAACTTAGGTTTATAATTATATCCATCAGAAATAGTGTCACATACGTGGTGCAATCCAAGAGTTCCCAAAATATATTAATAAAAACTATTACATCTTACCTAGATCTTATTCTGCACCATCACCTTCAAAGTAGTCCCCTTGGGAGCCCATACACCGATCCCAGCGTTTCTGCCACTTTTAAAATGCATCCTGGAAGTCTTTCTTTGTTAGGGTGTTTAGTACCGTCTGCGGTTCCGTTTGAATTTCCTCAACTGTATCAAATCTTCGCCTCTTCAACTTGATTTTCATCTTAGGGAAGAGAAAGAAGTCACATGGAGCTAAGTCTGGCGAGTACGGTGGGTGGGGAACAACTGCCATCTTGTTCTTAGCCAAAAATTCCTGCAGAATGTAAGCCGTATGCGGTTGTGCGTTGTCATGGTGGAGTACCCAGTCGTTCATGCGCCACTTCCCTGGACGTTTTCTCCTCACGTTCTCCCTCAAACACCTTAGAACATCGCAATAGAACTCTTTATTGACTGTCTGACCAGGAGGGACGAACTCCTTATGAACAATCCCGTCAATATCAAAAAAACAGATCAACATGGACTTAACATTGCTCTTGACTTGTCGAGCTTTTTTTGGCCGAGATGAAGAAGGGCTCTTCCATTGTGACAATTGCTGCTTACTTTCAGGGTCATAGCCATAAACCCAACTTTCGTCACCAGTGACAAACTTCGAAAGAAAGTTTGGATCCCCTTGAAGCTGTTGCTGAAGTTCCCTGCAGACTTCCAAGCGATGCTACTTCTGTTCATTTTGCAGCAGTCGTGGCACAGACTTCGCCGCAATCCTCCTCATGTTCAGTTCCTCTGACAAAATTCATTGACATGTACCATAACCCAGGGTGTTACAGAGGTCTTGGATGGTCAGTCTACGATCTTGCAGAATCAGATCCCTAACTTTCGCGACATTTTCTGGTATTTTGCCCATTCATGGCCGTCCCGAACAATCGTCATCGTCAGTCAATGTTCGGCCATTTGTAAGCCATTTTTAAAATGCTTATACCAGTTGTAAGTTTGTGTCTGGCCTAAACTGTTTTCACCAAAAGCTTGCCTCAACATTTGGTGCGTTTCTGCAGCGGTTTTTCCAAGTTTGAATCAAAACTTTATACAGACACGCTGCTCTCTCAGGTCAGCCATCGCAAAACTGCAAACTCATGGAAACACAACAGTGGAAATACGTTCACCAACAATAAACCCAACCACTCAACTCGATGCCGCTTGCCACACTGATTCAAGAAGGATATGTGAGGAGACACCTAGCGGTATTTCGATGTACTCACAACCATTCGTGCGCAAAATTCAAATTTTGGAAACTTTTGGATTGCCCCACGTATCATGGATTTCATACATAATGTATGCATGTCTTCTAGGTTTAATGAGCTACAGAACTTCTTCATAAGTGGAGTACACTCATAAATTTATTTGAAACATATTGATGAATGCATACATCGTACATTGCAGAATTTTATAATTGCATAACAGTGCATTTAAGTAATAAAAAAAAGCTTTCTTTTAATGTAAAAACTATGAAAGTTATTGGGATTCATAGAACCAGAGGATACGTATGAAGTTAGCTCTTCTTTGGATTATATAATGTGTGAAGGTTTCTGTGGTACTCTCTTAGTACACTTAGGAACCTTACTTTCCTTGCTTAAAACATTTATGTTTACATACAAGCCAGTAAGAAATTTTAAGAGACATTTCAAGAAATTCTTTGAGAAAGTATCAGAAATTTCTTATTTATAAAAATAAAGGAGGAATTGTTTTCATTGTGAACATACAAATAGGTGAAATTGTGTAATATTAAGAGATTATACCTGCCCTTATCATGACTTTGTGTCTTGGATTACAACTTGTTTATACCTCTGACCATCTGAAAATTGAGCATACTGTGCCATCTACCAACCATCCAGTTAGTGTAAGGTTGCTGTTCTCTTGGATGTGACACCATGTAGCCAGGTTAGGTAGTTACCAACTTTTTGAAGGAAATGTCTGCCTCCATCTGCTACCCTGAAGGTAGAGGTGCAGGTTCTTGCAAAATGGTATCTACTGAACAAGGCACCACAACGCAGATGGTATTAATCTTCATAGTCACTGATGTGAGGTCATCAAATATCACATGCTGTGAGATAATATTCCAATTTCAGTGGTTCATTTGGAGAAACATATACATTTTCTTATTGTATTTCTGTGATTATGACAGTTTTTTCTTGGTCCTGTGAAAATCAGATAACATAATGTCACATACAAATGTTATATTTCTGGACATTATCCATCATCCTATTTTTATTTAAAACACAGTATTTCAGAGACTGTATACTGTCTGCATGTGAAATCTGTTCAGTTGGGCCCAATTGATAGAGCTAGTGCCCATCTCCAGACAGCTGCAACAACACAAGACGATGTCCAGAAACATCATATTTGTATCAATGTACCGTTGTCACAAATTGTCAGAATATCACATATTTGTTTGTTCAGATAATACTGGTAGAATGCATTGTAAGTTGCCCTGCATTATTATGAATACAATATTCAATTGTGATGTCATTTTAATGTAAGAACAAGTTCAGTATATTGAAATATTGTCAGTGGTGGTTATCAAAAGATATTGTCTTGTCTTTGGGAACATTTCTACCCATTGTTTTTCTTTTTCTTATGTAATCAGTTCCTTGTCTTATCATTTTTTATTTTTACAATGTTCAGCAGCATGTAACCTGTACAAGCAAGACAGGATGAAAATTTTCCCAAACACTAATGCAACTTTTGTTGGTGGACTACATTCTGTAATGCAGGGTTTATTTCTTTTAATCAGTGGGTTTGGAAGTTTTTGAGATTCTGATCTTCCTTTTAAGTACTGTGAAACTGTATGACCATGCCCCTTTTTTTAGCTTTACTTGGCTGATAATATACAGTATGGAGTACATGATGTGTGTGTTCATGTTTTATTTTTCAGTCACATTGCAACTGTGTTGTATGGATCAACATTCCCCTGCCATCACTATTTTACCTGTATTTAGTAATAGATTGCAGTCTTCCGTAATGTGATGCTGTGTCATTTTATAGAGGGTACCCTGGTACCTCAATCTTTATTGTAGAAGATTCCCTTTTTTACTCTGAAGATGGAAACAGCGGGTTTCATTAACATTCTGATACATACTTACCAAACTACACAGTAGCACACCCCAAAAGACAGTAATGTTCATAATCACTGCTGTGAGAACTTTGGATCCCAGGTGTATTGGGCAGGGTCAGGAATTCAATTCTGGGAAGCCACTAGTGACTTATTGGTGGGTTTGGGGTTTGTGTTATGACTTACTTACTTACTTACGTACTCATGGAGCTGAGCCCATCTGGAGGAGCTGCAAATTCTGCAGCTACTCAAGAATTTCCCAACATTTTATGGAACCTGAAGGTTCATTAGCGTGTTCACAAGAGCCCTCCACTGGTCCCTATCCTGAGCCAGATCAATCCAATCAATACCATCCAATTCTCTCTCTCTAAGATCCATTTTAATGTTGTCCACCCACCTATGCCTTGGTCTTCCCAGTGGTCTCTTTCCTTTTGGCTTTCCCACCAATATTCTATACACGTTCCTCATCTCCCCCATTTGTGCTATGTGCCCTGCCCACCTCATCCTCCTTGACTTGATCATTCTAATTATACTTGGAAAAGAGTACAAGTTATGAAGCTCCTCAATGTGCAGTTTTCTCCAACCTCCTGTCACTTCAGCTCTCTTCGGTCCAAATATTCTCCTCAACACCCTGTTCTCAAACACCTATGTTCCTCCCTTAATGTCAGAAACCAATTTTCACACCCATGCAGAACCACAGGCAAAATTATAGTTTTGTCTATTCTACTTTTTATGTTTTTTGACAGCAGACGAGACGTCAGAAGTTTTGGACTGCATGGTAGCAAGCATTACCCGAGTTCAGTGTCCTCTTAATTTCCTCCTGAATCAGGTTTCAATCTATTATCATCCCAAATATCTGAACTGTCCCACATTTTCAAAACTTTTGTTTCCTATCTTTATGCCATGGACACTGTACCTGTATAGACTATGTAGTGTTGAATGATGGAGTATTTTGTGAAAAATGAATTGGAAAGGTTTTGGAAGGACCTACTGAAGACACCAACCTGGTATTTGCCTGGAGGCTCTGAGGGAAACCACTAAAACCTTGGCAAGGATAGTTGCGTACCTGTCTTGAGATTCAAACTTGGCACATCCTGAATACAAGTTGGAAATGTTACCCCTTGAGTTTTATAGTTAAGACTCAGTGTTTCAGTTCATGTGTTCTCATACATAGTGGTTGAGTTTGGAGTTAATGACTGCCCAGAATTTAAGACCCATCATATATATTTATGTAGTTTAGTTCCACCTTTTGTATATTTTAATTATAGGACAAGGGACAATAGCATGTGTGAGATTGTTTCATTGGTCCTTGTGTAAGATATTTTGTATCTTGGATTTTGAGGTTTTAGTTTTTTTTGTTGCCAAAAATTCTTACAGTGCAGATTGTGGTGCATGTTATTCAACTTGCATTGCAATGGAAGATGCTTGTCATGTAATTCTGTTTAATATATAAAACTGTAGCAACATATGTTTGCATTCATTCGTATGACCTTTTTAGAAAATGTTGCCTGTGCTTTATAAGGGTGCCACAGCTAAACAATTGTGAGCAATGGTGAAATATGTTTAAAGATTACTGAATACATATGAAGGCCATGTAAAGGAATTCCATGAATGATTGGGGATGGTGGCACTCCAGGATTCTCATTCTTTGCCCTCTCAAATACATGGTGTCTGGATGAAAGGTATCCAAAATAAAATAATTATATCTCGGAAAGCATTTATTATACACATTTATGGGTTATAACATTACAAAGGGAAACTATCAGAGTTTTATTCTGAGTATATAACTCCCTCAGTAAGTTTCAGTATGCGCTGCCTTAGTGGCACAACAAATATACAGATGTTCAACCTTATTCCACTTTGCTTGAAGCATGTAAGGCGTTACTGTAGCCACAGCATCCCTTATGCAGGCTTTCATGTGTTGGAAGGTCATTTATCTTAACCTGGTAGACAGTGTTCATAACATAAGCCTACAAGAAAAAATCCACTGGGGTTAAATCTGGCGACCTAGGAGGCCAAGCAATTGGTCCACCTCTTCCGATCCATCTCCCAGCCATGTCTCGCCCAAACTATTCCTAACATTGTGGCAGAAATGTGGAAGATGTTTTGAGGTGGTAACTAAGGCAGCACATACAGCTCCAGCATGTCCAAGTACAAATATCCAGTCCGTTTTTTTTTTCTGGAAAAAAAAACTGTCCAGTCAACTTACATATGACGTGGAGCTTGACTGCGCCAAATCCTGCAGTTGTACCTGTATACAGCTCCACTGACATGGAACGTCACCTCATCTGAGAAGCGCCCTTGGCAGAGGAAATCAGGCAATGTGTCAATTCTTTCTGTCATGTCCACAGCGAAGTTAGTGCATGTTACTTGGTCACTCACTTTTAGGCATGAATCATTTGAATCTTGTAGTACACTTTTAGGCAGAGCCTTTTGTGTAGCACATCATGCACTGTTGAACATGGAATCTGTTAAATGCAAGCTAGCAGCACGAATTGCAGACTTTGGAATGCAATGTGATTGACATTTTCATCAGAGGTCCCTGTCTTTCGAGGAGATCTTACATGCAACAGACTACCTGTAGTCCTCAGTTTGTTGTCCCAGACCTGAATGCTTTTTCGCGCAGGAGGTTGATGTCCATACATATTGCATTCTAACACAATGCTGGACAGCTCTAAGAGATTACAACTTTGTTAGCCACAACATGCATTGAACCTATTCTTGTGGTGTAAGCTGGACATTAAAAAGACTTTCAGCGTTTTCCTTTCCAATAACATAAACTAAATATGTGTATGGCAATTAGTTTCCAAGATATACATTTTTTATTTTGGATACGTTTCATCCGGACACCCTGTATTCCCCCCNAGTGAAGGTATCACTACTAACATTCATGTGAACAGAATGGCTAAGTGACTGTAGGGGAACAGAGGAAAATATTTAGTTGCTGGAGGAGGGTGTGGACTGTGTCAGTCCATGGGACTTTTTTTCTGGGGCTTCATTATAAATTTTGAAATACTATGAAAACCATGTTGTACTTTTCTGGGGGTTGGTAATGGCTGCATGGAAGATATGTACCTTATATCGTGGTATGTATCGTTCATGATGTGTATTAATACTCCCACAATTTATTGTAGCACCCTTCATTGACAGTAACAGGTTCAAATTCATGAACAAGAACAGATAATTTCTTTCTATAATGTGTTTTGTTTTCCACACTGACACTATGCGTAGTAAAGTGACTGATTATGGATTGAATGACTAGTGTTTGACCACTGACCCCAACATGTATTTTCTTTGTCACTGGGTTATGAAGACAAGCCGTGAGACCTACCAATCACCTTTCCTAAAGGGTAAAATTGCTGAAAAAAGAAGGTGATAACTTGCTTCCATCTACTGTGCTAAGATTAGGAAGGCATGGAACCTCGCTTACTGTTACATTCATGGCATGGTGATTATTGGGAGAATTTACCATTTGCTTCAGTACAGTATAAAAATGTAGGAGTGCCCCAAGATTATCATGGATAGGGAAATGGCAGAATCCACAGTAGTTGTAAATGTTATATTGGCCTGTTATGTCTAATAAACTCAGCTAGACCTGTGTAAAAAGTGTGAGATGTTCGCACTAATTAAGAAGGGCAGAAAGGGTAGGAAACATTTATGGGTATAATATTGTACCCAGTGTAGGGCCCTCTGGAAAATGTATGTAACATTTCGATGTGCTGCGTCTTATTTCTCACATGAATCGCATATCCTCTCCATTCTTTCAATCTCCGTGGCAAGCGCCCATTGATCGGCAATTGTCACTTCAGCATACCCTCTGTCGGTAGCTCATTAAACTACAGCAGAAACTGGAGCGATTCGAAGCCTGGGGAGTGTGCATGAAAGTGTCCATGTTCTACCGCTTATTTCAATTAAATGGGATTTACTGTGTTTAAGGTAGGGTCAATATTACATATTTTATAATTATTGAATAATATATGAGCAATGCATTATAGTGGAATAAGGTTGCATTGAATGCATGAATGGACGTATATGTTCTGTTTCTCTACCCGAAGATACAATAATGACGGCCGACAAACTGACAATAACGAACTGTATACTTTGGATGTGACGTTAATTGTGATGATAACTGCTTAATTGCGTTTTATGATACAGACGGTTGTAATAATATATTTAGATTACAAAATTTCCAAGTGGAATTGTAAAAGATGTGAAAGTCGCTGTCGTATAGGCCTAGTCGTTTAATTGATAGTAACAACGTTAAGTGGCAACTTTATTGTGTTAATACAATTGTGTAAAGAATTAACGTAATCCAGTGAATTGTCATCGCACTTGAAGGTACAATTGTTTCGTACTCGTCACCTGTTAACATTATACATTGGCAAGTGTCGGCATCGTGCGATTTCATTAATTTACGTAAAGGTCTGCCCGATTTTACAACGTCCTATGCTATAAGAAGCCCACTTTTCTAATTCACGTCTACTGAGATTCGCGATTCCAGGAAGCGGGAACATTGTTGACAATCGATGTTCAGCTATTCGTCAAATTAAGGCCTTGGAACTGCATCGAGCATGCTTTTACTCAGGCGTTTCGTAAGGTTTTGACTGGACCATGAAGTTTCCTATGGGGTGGGTAGCTTTAAGTTTGGTGATTGTTAGTGATTATGAATTAGTTTATTCAGTGGATGTAATGTAGTGAAAAGTGGAGATAAAGAATATTCCATCGGTAATGTTCGCGTGTCAGAGAGTAGCATGTGAAGTTACGTGTGGATTCCAGTGAATTGCCACCGTGTTTGTTCCTGCAACAGCGAACTGCCCGGCGCTTGGGCTCTGTTTATCAAAATGTTCATGTTTTATCAAAAGTACGAAATCGGTCCAACGTACGTATTATTCCCGGTACTCATTTATGTTAGAGGCTGAGTCGACCTCATCGGGAATCGAACCCTTGACCTTTGGGCTTGTAGCATAGTACCTCAACCAACTTTGCTACCACGCGCCTCCGTTCTTATTGTAATATAAATAAAAACGGTAAAGCAATCCTGTAACAGGCACATACGGTTATGAGACGTCGAGGCTCCCACATTTCCTAGACAGTCGACTCCCAGATGGTGGTGAGGTTGTCAGCCTAACGCGCTGGCCGCCCTTTATCCCGAGGAAGATTCCTGATACTCGTAGAGGCTGAGTCGACCCCAGGGCCATATTGCGGTTGGAAGGATCAAGTTAATTGAAAAATCCATTGACCTCATCGGGAATCAAACCTGCGACCTTCCGGCTATTATAATGCAAATAATACAGCCTATTTTAAAGACGTGTTCTTGATATAAGAAAAAATAGAATTCCGTTGTCACGTTCGAATGCTACTATTGTAGAACGGCAGCTTGAATATTAGCTTTGTTGATAAGACACCAACGGGTGTTCCGTATTTGCAGCCTAATACATGTAACAATTGAATTGGCAGGAGCCGCAATATCTCAGTCGGTATAGCGACTGCTACGTCCTGGATAACCGCGGAGTTGAAGATCAATTCCCAGCAAAGGCGAGATTTTTTTCTCTTATCCATAATGTCCAGACGACACCGGGGGTAAAGCGGCCTAGGCGTGGAACTGACGACTCACAATCCATCTAGTCCCAAGGTTAAGAATCCCAGGCACCATACTTCCACACCCCATACGTCTTTTTGGTGTGGCGATTAATAAATGCGGGGAAAACTTACACTTTTTTTTTTTAAGTTGAGAAATGGAATATGTCGTCCCTTGGCCGTTGGACAGGTTCCCATTTCCGTCTAACACATTGAAGTATGATGATGCTTGCAGTATCTCACATTAAGTAAGGTCAGTGATAAAGTGATTAGTGAATAAAGCGTTGGAAAGAATGTGGAAGGAAGCAGTTTTGACCACTTTCAAAAATCAGTAGACCTCTCCCGAAATTGGCCAGGAGAAACTGAAGAAAATAAAAAAGGTTAGCCATATTTCGGGTCTAGTTTTGAAGCCGGAGTGCTTTGCATACGAAGCATGGGTGGTACCCATTCGACCACAGCCGAAACCCGATGGAAACAGCGTAACGTGGGAACTGAGGCCAGGCACTCCTCTGTATCCTCTTTAAACAGCACAAAACAACTTGTGCCCACGTCCTGCCCAGTTACTGGCCTAATTAATTGTACCCGTAAATTGAGGCCATGACTAGACCCCATCTTATTTATCGCGTAATTCAAATACACTACCGAGGTACCCATGTTCCAAAATTCTCCACACAACCATAAAATCATACGCATCAACAGTACACGGCCATTACTGGCTACATCAGTTTCATTGATATTATATGGCCAGTCTGCAGTTTAAAAAATCAGTTTTCTTATCAGTCACTGTCTTCAGGAATATCTGTTCTCTGTCGTAACGTAATGGAATTAATATGTTTCCCACACACGTCTGTATTGTCACGTATTTGGGGTGTGTGACTATAGACGGGGTATGGATTGGATATTGGATTTATTGAATGCTTATGCACACCACTCGAAACTACAAGTAATTACAGCGCTATCGCTGATTTCTACAGTTTACAAATCACTACACGTTAAGTCTTCTCCAGCCTGCGGCGGCGTCAACAGCTGTTCCCTAGCAACGTCTTCTAACAATGGAGATTCTTCAGTCTCCCGCGCTCGGGTCTTTCCTGTCAGGCTCACATCCAGCAACTGAATTCCCTCAATTCCCTGCTGCAACTAACAACTCACAGGCTGGCGGCCATTTCACACAAACCTCCTAGTATTCTCTTCACTGGCCGGCTTTCAACAAAGTCAAAGTCACATTGCGACTAACGGTCAGTCAGTCAGTAAGTCTTGGTGTCGAGCCCCATCTGGGGCTCATGACCAGATATTTATTGCTGTTTGACAGTTACAATCTTGTTTTTGTGGGGCGGCTTCTTTGACGAGTGGATGGGTCTGTATTTTGTATATCCCTTGGGACTCGTGACCATATTTTACTGTCTCAGATAAGAGACTTCCCTTTTCGTCGCTACCTACGACTCGCAGGGTCACGGTGGAGGTATTCGATCCCGCCTCCACAGTCAGAGTCAGAGTCACGTTACCACTGACGGTCAGTCAGTCTGTCTGTCTTGGTGTCGAGCCCCAGATATTTCTTTTGTATGAAAGTTACTGTCCTGTCCATGTGTAGCGCCCTCTCTGACGAGAGGTCGGGTCTGTCATTTGTTAGTCAGTCTGTAGTAATTTGTCCATTGTCTGTATTTACACATATTTGCAATACATACTTATATAAATGTACAATATTTACACGGCCTCCGTCAGTCCAGGCTAGGTACAGCAGATTATGCCCTTTTATATATATATATATAAATAAATATCCTAATAGTATTAGCTATCACGGCAGTCTAGTCACTTGAAGCGCCTCCACACAGAGCACTCCCTAACTGCTGACTCCTCGGCACGAACCACATAGAAAACATCGCTTCCATTGTTATAGTCCAACAATACCTCGACTGTTGTATGCGTATCCGTTGACGCGGGAACCCGTTTACCGAGCAGTTGCATAGCGATAGCCTGGGTATTGCTGACGTGTTTACCGGCCGTTGCCAAGCAACGGCTGCTGTTCACAGAGTCACCGCTCAGCAGCGGGTCTATACGCCACAGTATAAAGAACATATACAGGTAATTAGAAAAAAGTAACGGTAATTCAGAATATTCGAACCGTATACTGAGCACAAGACACACATATGGGAATATAACCGATTCAATGAACACCACGAAAACTGAGAGGGAAAGGAAAACACCTAAGTACGTTTGGAAAAATACCACATATGTAAAATCAGTAAAAACAGACTGCACATGAGTGACGCATATATGGACATATATAACCCAATATTTGAAACATTACAAGAATTAAACACTAGATAGCAGTATACTCGTACACACCTCATATCTCTATCTCGGAAGATACTACAGCAACGGCTGGTCTCCGCGGTTCCGCGAAATAAAAATGAACCGCCCAGCCTTCGTGTCAATAAACCGTATGAGAGTTTGCCACTCCACTCTTAAAGCAAGCTTAAGTAGATATAACACTGTGTCCAGGGCTAAATGCGAATGTGGTGACGGGCTGAAACGGAGGAACATATCTTCTGGGACTGTATATTATACGAGGACCAAAGGGCAACAATGATGGACGTTTTTGTCTGAGAGCAGCAAAAAGAATACACAAAGTCCGCTACAGAGCTCTTAAGGCTAGGGGGAAAAATACCTGTGCAAGGCGTCTGTTACTTCATAAACAAAATTCATAAATTTATTTCTTAAAAATAAGTACGAGTATATGTACAAAATATTAATAGTATATATTTAGAATTATGAGATATATTAAAAAATCGCGGGGGTGACCGCAACGATAGAATAAGATGCTCATAAGAATGTGCTACAGAGGGCCGGATGGGTCACTGCCTAGGAAGGTTTTGTATATGTATATTTCTTTTTTCAAAATATAAAAATATTTCGGAAACCGTTCAGAATAGGACACGTGCATATACTCTTTTTTGCTTAGAATAGCCGATATTATGACCTCCTAGAATATTTACCGTTCCTCCTGGCATATCCTATATAATATACATGAGAAAGTAAACATTTTTACCTTCCAGAAAGAAATATCTTGGGATAATTGGTTGTAGGTGGTAGGATAATATTGAAATGGTTATTACATAAATAGGATATGAGATGCGAACTGAATCAACTGGCCCTGCATAGGATTCAGTGACTATGCTACGGCAGTGAAACTTTGATTTCTGTATAGGACTTGGAATTTCTTAACCGACTAGACAGTTTTTAGCATTGTAACACCAAGATGAAGGGAAAGTCATTTCTGAAAGTTCTGAAGTATTTCAATTTTTGAAACGTAGCTAAAATCTTTGACGAAGTTGATAAGCGTGGTGTTTCTATTTGTGATT